ACAAATTAAACACATTTTTCCATGAATAATCCAATTGAATCACTAACAAAACATGTATTTTCAAGCTCTTATCACTTAGCCCCAACTTCTCTAATCTCCAGCCTTCACTCAATCACTTCACTCGACTCGGTCAAGAAGACCGAGACGAGCCGAACGAATGTACCCTATAACTCAGCTTCATCTTCTACCTTTCCAAAACCCAGGAACTTCGAAAATCAACCCAGCACACTTTGCACTCACCAAAACTCAAACAAACCACTCTGAATCTTTCTCGAAATCAAACACAAACTACAAGAAAACGATTCAAAATCGCAAAAATATTTTTCACCACAAACCAAAAATCAAAAACCCTTTTTCTATTCAAAACCTCTTTCAAAAATCCAAGAATACCGGCCTAGGAACTAACTATAATGCAATAATGAACTCAAAATCAGAAAAGAAGTCTTAGGAGAAATGGTTTGCTATGAAGAAACATCGGAAAAACCTTTGCAATGCTGAAAAATTCTCTCATACGAGCGAACTGTGAAGAAGAGCTCTTTAGAGTTTGAAATGAAAAAGATAAAATACCAAAAGACGCATCTGATTGGCATTTAATGCCTATCCCTTCAAACGGGACCACGTGGCAAACCCTCGTTTTGCCCTAGGAGACTCAACTTTTCAAATTCCTACTTAGAATGAGTTGGAATCATGACCTTACATGTGTCACCTTTTCATGCAAGCCTTGTACCCCGGAAGCATGACTGGTTGCACATACCTTAGTATTACCATTTGGCCTACCTAACCGGGTGAGTACTCCTCAATAAGTACTAACTATTCATCTCATTCTTATAACTTATATGATCAAACGCCTTCAAGACACTCCATATCCAATCACTCGGTCTGCTCGACCGAGTGGGTAAACTGTGAAGAAATTTGGCCTTCCCACACTTAAAAACACACTTGCTTCAAAAATTCAAGTAACTTACTTGGTATTGCGCATCGAGAGAAGGCCCTTTAAGGATTCCGCCATACCTCCCCACTCGGTTCAACGCACCAAGTGAATGCTACTCCAAAGAACTAGCTTCACAGCAAATCATTCGGTTTGATGTACCGAGTGAGTACATCTCTGAAGTTTATGCGTCCACCCATTTACTTGGTTCAGTGCACTGAGTAGGACACGTTTTCATAGGATTCTACATTCTCACTCGGTTCTATGCATCGAGTGAGACAACTCTCACAATTTCCACATTTTCTCACTCGATTTGATGCACCAAGTGAGGGCACCTTCATAGGATGTGCTTCACATCCTTTCACTTGGTTCGATGCACCAAGTGAGGATACCTTCACGGGTATTCACCTCATCCCCTTACTCAGTTTGATGCACTGAGTGAGGTCTCCATGGTTGATCACACTTTCTCACTTGGTTAGACCGAGTGAGGACACATTTGCAGTTCACATCTCGTACTCACCCACTCGATCTGGTACATCGAGTGTGCCACATACATGAGACAAGCTTTATTACTCGGTTCCATGGACTGAGAGGTGACACCTTCACATACCCAACTAGTCGGTCACGAAGGCCGACTAAGCACACCTTCACACATAATTAACTACTCTCTAAGCTAAGCACTCCTTAACTTAGAGAGTCAGGGGCAAACTGTTGGGGCAAAAAAATGTTCTCAGCCATAGTGGGCCCGAAAATGAAACACCTTTAATGAAGCTCAGAGCCATGACCCAATTTTGGTTGAGCCCACAATAGAATTCGCATAATGGGCTAGCCCATTACACCCACCAGGTTGCTTACAGATTGAGCCTAATCACTAAGGCCTTGATTCACTTAGGCCTCACCATTAGTTTATTTGGGCCTAAGCCCGCTGATCCAAGATCGCCTATAGGACCTAGGGTTTACTTGGACCCCAAGGCTATCTACTTCCTATTTTGGTATTATCCAGGTTCTCACAAAGAGATCCATCAATATCTTAATTTGTCTTAGATCCGAATCTTAGACTAAATAGGACTCCTTCTCCTACTAAGGCAAGTGAATTGAAGACTTTCCTGTTCACTAAACCTCAATCGGTATGGACTCATAGTTCTATTAGAATTCGGAGATCCCGCGATTGCTATATAAACAGAGGCCTGCCCTCTCACACTTCATTCAACATTACACCTTCAAACCCCCTGGTTCTCACCCTTGAGAGCTATACACCATCGTTGTAGTTCTAGTTTCCGACTAAACTTCCAGTAACCCTCTCTTTCCCTTACCCTCACTAAATTAGCGTCATTCAGTCTTGCTGACTTGAGCGTTGAAGTGCCTACGATAAACACCCCCTTAGTGTTTCTATTCGCTTCACGCTTGTTTCTTTGTGTATGTAGGTGTAGCGGATTGCTAGTGGTCTTAACCTCATAGGATCATATCCCCCATTCTGTAACCATAAATTTTACTGTCTACAATAATAATAATAAAAAAGTATATTGATATGATGCTTAACAACAATACAAGGGCTATTATTATTATGATTCAGCTTTAAGAGTTTACCTAAATATTATTGTTGCATTAGCCAATGTTATTATCATATGCAAAAGTGACACGAAACATGAATTTACAGCCAAATTATTACAAAGGTGGCGGCTCTCTCTATCTCAATTTTGAGGAAGTGGAGAAACTTTCGGCATGGCGTTGAATATTTGTTTGCTTGCTTTGATTTTGTCTAAATGGCTTTAAGTTGTTGGAGATTTACACATATGCTATCACTGACAAGGAAGAGTTTAGATCATCTCTCTTCAAATGTCAAATATCAAATGTCAAATTAATAAATAAAAATTTATCACTTTGATTATGTTCACAGTTTGAATCATAACAAGAGACTTAAGATTAGTAAATATTTGAAGACATTATAGTGTTGATATGATAATATTAATTATTGTGTCAACCTAATATCTTAGATCATCTTTCACTCACGTTCATATTTTTTTTTTCTTTTTTAAATAGAGAAATAGATAGAATAGAAAAGACTACTCATGAAATATGCATATATGATATAACTGTAATATTTAACATCAAAGATTTATCATAACACTGAAGGCAAAATGCATGATAACTAACTAAAAATGTTGACTTCTGTACTTGTTTTCTTACTAATTTTGCTGAGGAAATAAGTTTATAATTAATCGGCTCCAAAACGAAAATGTAAGAAAAACATAGAGAAGAAGAACTGATTGATAGAATTTCAATTAGCATAAATAAATAATTGGTATCCCAATGTATTAGATACAGAGCAACAAATCATGTTATATGAGAATCCATTAATTTTATCGAATACTAATGTGGGTTTTAACCAAAAACAAAAAGGCCTTGTTGACATTAGATATAATAATACATATATTTTTATCAATAATATTATGCTTTTCAAGTCTTTCTACGTGAGACGACCTTCATTAATGTAAGTGATGAATTGATATAATATTAATATAGTTTTAATGTAATTGAAAATTCTTCTAAAATGATCACATAATCACCAAAATTCTTAGATGAGCGAAGAAAACGAGTGAAAAGCACTAATGTAAAGATGAATGTAGAGCTCATCACTATCACCACCACCACCAAAATCCATCTTCCAAAACGTGTTCAAACCACTCATACAGACATGTGGAATTTCACGCCTTAAAAGACAACTTTTCATTTTTATTTATTTATTTAATTATTATGAGTTGAGTTTTCTCCCACTACATATAAAACGACAATGGAATTAGGTTTCAATTATCAAAATGGAAACCAGCTGCATGCACTTCACTTCTTCCTCCACTTCCACTTCATTTTCATGGGACACAAAATCTTCCTATCCATTTTACTCTTTATTATTCTTCAATACAGAAAGTCAACATCTCTCAAAACCACTTAACTATACTATACTACACTTTGTCAACCATCTAGTTTTGTCTTTCTACAGTCACCCTTCAACAAATATTATTGCATACAAACATTCTTAGGTAATGATAAATATTAAAAGATAAAATTTTATTTCAATAAAAAATCAATTAATTTTTTTATTATTTACTGACATTCTCTAATTATTCACCATACAATTTTTTTAAAAAGTACAAATATACATCATTTTAGAAAATGTTATTCTACCGACGTCAATTTTTGACGGGAAATATTGCCGTTGGCGTTACCATTACTATCGACCCTAGTACCGGAGGAAAATATGCTAATGCCCACGCATATAGGACATGTGTCAGGATTCATGGTCAAAATATTGATTATACTTGAATGTGGAGAAAGAAAGCACTAATTATATCAAGGAAATAGGACATGGCTCAAATTAGAATAGTTTTTAATTTTTATTTTTTTAATATGTTTTCGGTTCAGTCACTGGATCCCAATAGCAAGATAGTGGATGTAAGTTTATTATTTCTACAATATTCTTTTCTCCCCCCTAAACATATAGAAATAGTCAGTTTCGTACTGTTGTTTAGACAAGTAGGCTCTGCCAATTCGTGGATATTCTAGACCATTCGTTTAATGAATTACTCAAATTAATATTGTTTTTTAAACAATGTTGGATTTCTCCTTCTAACTAACCCAGAAGTTTAAACTAGTTTTGAAGTCTAAATAATAAATTTAAATGAAGATGTGGAATTCTTGTAATTAATCAACGAATTTAATCGAAAAGCTTGAGTAACATTTAAGGTTCCAATGTTAAAGTTTTAAGGCTTAGCACTGATCTTGTAACTGCAGGTGTTTGATTAATTAAAAGATTTAGCTAATTAACATAGAATCGACAATCAATAATGGAAGACTTAGTTCTTACGTGTCTTAATTCCCACATGCAATTGACATGCATTAGCTCAAGATTGTCATGTTAATTAATAAATGGATTAGGTGGAGGAACCTTCAGACCCACTATCTCCTCCTTTCTGATCTTTAATTTCCACAGTGATCGAATTGCTTTCAAAGCAAACTTTCACTCCATCATTCGCATTTGTATATATATATATATATATTTACACATTGTCTTTCCCTCTGTACATCAACTAGTTTTCTGTATATCCATTTTCAGCCATTCATTCTTTCGTTATTCTATCATATATATTAATTTCTATATGCTGTTGAAGTCTCCTCCAAGTTTATTAAAAATGGTGATGGCTAATTTAATTGGTGTATTGTTAATAATAGAGGTGATAGTAAGTGGTTTTCCATTTGGAGCCGATGGGCTAAGCATGGGTTACTACATAATGAATTGCCCATTAGCTGAACCAATCGTCAGACATACTGTTACAAGAGCTCTTGATGCTGATCCTACTCTCGCAGCAGCCCTCGTCAGAATGCATTTCCATGATTGTTTCATAGAGGTTTAATCAATTCTTAATTATATAGGTTTATTTATGAAAACTTATGTATATGTATATATCTTTTTAATATATAATGTTTTGTGATGAATTAGGGATGTGATGGGTCAGTCCTTCTTGATTCAACAAACGATAACACAGCAGAGAAAGACTCCCCTGCCAATTTAAGCCTACGAGGTTATGAAGTTATTGATGATGCTAAGGAGGAGCTTGAAAATCAATGTCCTGGTGTTGTCTCCTGCGCTGATATTGTTGCAATGGCTGCTAGAGATGCTGTCTTCTGGGTAAGAAAATTAAGTTTTCTGTGTTATTTAGCAATGCTTTTCTGTCTAGATACAACTCGGAGATCGTCCCTCGCGTAACTAATTAATGAATATAGGTTATGTTTTTTTTTTTTTTGTTTTTTTTGTTTTTTTTGTTTTTAAATATTAACTATAAGAACAATTCTACAATGCATCTGGTTTACCTACAACCTTCCAATAATAGAGCAAGTTTCATACACAAATTGACGTGACACACCTTCATTGGATGGTTATAAGTGCATCATATGCACAAACGAATTATTCCCATTATAATGATATTTAATACAAAGAGCTTTTCTCGACCCCCCTAAGGTTTAATCAAATGACAAAATCCCCTTGAGATTTTAGAAATAACAAAATTTTCATTGCCATAGTGAACTGTTAGCATATCGTTAGAATTCATAGTATGATGGGTTAATAAATATTTACCTAATTGCCTCTCTTCGGTTTATTTTACCATAGAAGATTAACAATAAGGGGATTTTTGCTATTTTTATAACTATAGGGGGATTTTGTTATTTAAGTACACTTAAGGGGGATTATTGTTATCAGAAAGCTTTTATAGTAAATATCTTTGTAACAGAGACTTGACTATAATTAGGGTATATATCCTTCTTGTGTTATAGAAGTATCGAAGAGCTCTGTTGCAGTGTAATGATAAAAAAAATATATATGCACAAAATGGTAACAGGCTGGAGGCCCAGTGTATGATATACCAAATGGAAGAAAGGACGGAAGAAGATCAAAGATAGAAGACACAATCAATCTTCCTTCTCCAGGCTTCAATACCTCTCAGCTTATCAAAATGTTTGGGCAGCATGGTTTCTCTGTCAAAGATATGGTTGCTTTGTCTGGTAAGTAATCAAACTATATTAATGCACTCTTTTAGTGACAATCTATTGTGTCTTATAATTATTGGCCTAATTAATTACTTCTAGAGCACTTAGCTGTATATAACCAACTAAAATTTCTTTAATAAATTGTGTGAGCTAGCTGGCTGGAAGCTTCTTATAAAATAACATCATTTTGGTATTTTTCAACTTTTTCCATATTTCTAGACAATTAAATATCATATTTTTATAATATACCAAGATTAAGGTCGGTGGATGTATAACTTTACAATTTAGATATGAAAATCTATTTGGATTTGTGATACAATAACGACCGCCCACCAAAATGGCTTAAACTAATAAATTAAGGGGATTTCTCAAGAATAATTAATTTTTAATTTTCCAAATATTTTTTGCAGGGGCACATACACTTGGAGTGGCAAGGTGTTCATCATTCAAAAATAGATTGAATAATGTTGATCCAACTTTAGGTTCTGAGTTTGCAAAGACATTATCAAAGACATGCAGTGGTGGTGACAACGCAGAGCAACCTTTTGATGCCACCAGAAATACTTTCGATAATTTTTACTTCAATGCATTACAGAGGAAATCCGGGGTGCTTTTTTCAGACCAAACATTATATACAGATGCGAGAACTAGAGGCATTGTTAATGATTATGCCAGGAACCAAGCTATGTTTTTCTTAAATTTTCAGCAGGCTATGGGCAAAATGAGCTTGCTTGATGTTAAGGAAGGAGCTCAAGGAGAAATAAGATCAAATTGTCGCAAAATTAACTGATAATTTAGTTGGTTAGCGAGAGAAAATTGTGTTAAAATATTTAATTGCATGTATTAACAACATTAAAGTATATGTAATATCTTTTTTGTTCTATTGTACGTTGAATAAACAAATTTGAGAGTATTCTGTCTTAGACTATGATTTAAGCGAATGTAATACCTTTTTAGATTTGTAGGGCATGTTTTATGCGCTGCCGCGCTCTATAGTATAAGTATTGTTATGTATAGTTTTGTGTTTTATTGTATAATATTATAACAAAAATAAGGGTGTTTTTGGTGCACTTTGTATTGTACTGTATTAAATTATATTTATTTTTAATTAAATTCTATTAATAATATTTATCTAAATAAATTTACAATGATTTTATTAAAAAAAAATAATAATTTCTTTAATTATGTTGATGCTTGATTTTGACATCAACGACCTCGCACATGTAAAGTGTTAAGCAAGTCTTAGAAATTACACGTGAACAATAGTATGCAAAGACTTAACAAATAAATGAGACAGTGAGAATTTTTATAGTGGTCGGATGCTTAAAGCGATTCCTATGTCTACTGTTATCTTTTTATATAAGTATTCTTGGTTATTAGCTAAGTTACAAGAGGTCACGAATAGCGAACAAAATTATAAGAGCTTGGTATTCAGAGTGAATTTTAAGCCAATCTCTTTTCCTTAGGTTGTCTTTGCTATTTCTTTTATGAAAATCAGAGATCCTGATTTTGCAAGGAGGAGTTCTCTATTTATAGTCGCTGAGTTCAAGGTAATGATTATATGTCTGCAAGTGGGTAGGAGCCATGCAAGTCCTTCCTTGCGTTCCATTGGTTGATAACTTAAGAAATATCCTTAAATTATATGGGGTTTGGACAGGTGTGTGGACCTCATTCATTCACAGACAAAACCTGAGCCTGCTAGGTTGGTGACAGCCGTATTCTCTTTGTCTTGGGGTGACGTGGCAGATCTTGGACGGTGCAAAGCCTTCTTGAATTCTGATTAGTGCGCATTGATATAAGCTTATGCCAGTCCTAATTTTTTAGGCATAGCAGAAGAACTTCTTGAGATTCAAGGAATTAGATCTTGAGAACTTCATGATTATGCCTCGACCTGACTTGTCTTCAGAAATGCTTGCTTGAACTGAAAGCTGAGAGTAGTCACATCGTTGCAGACCACCTGAAGTAGACTGCTTGATCTGACTAGCAAACTGAGTGTAGGTCGTGACCTATATTTTGAAAGTAACGCAAGCGACCCTGACGTGATCGTTTACAGATCTGAGCTTGATCTTGTCTTGTGCTATCGAGATGTGTTTTGAACTCCAATTGTCATTCACGACCTGAAAACACTTAGAATATTTCGCTATTGAAAATTATGAATCATCTTGTTTAGTGTTCGAGTCTGACATGTTGAATAAATGCCTTTTTTGGAACGACCTCTTCATATGTTATTTATTGCACTTGACAGCTGGCTCGGTTAATAAAATAAACTTTATCTGACAAACGTGTCTTTGCGCGCAATAAGTGTTAGCCATGAGCATTAAATGTGAGCCATGCTGAAATGATATTCCCTTTTGGTGCAATAAATGCGGTTGAAGGCGCATTAAATGCGGAAGAGAAAATTAAGTCGACGATTCAATTTCTCGATAAAGGATAATGTCGGTTGGTTTCTACGAGGCATGGGGGTTACTCTTCCCATGGATCGATGACATGTGATCGCGATCTACGGCTAAGAGTGAAGTCCTGCCCAAACGTCGCTGATAAGAGTGTAATTTATATATTTTTATTCCTTCCATATTATGTTTTTTGTTATGTTTTATGCCTAGTTGAGTTGATTAGAGTTTATTTTGTAAGTTTGGCATATTTGGATAGACTTTATGAAATAATTGAGAAAAGATTAAAAAATTCTAGAGTTTTTGTTATTCTGACCAGTACTGCGTTTTTCAGGTTTTTCATGGAATCAAATTTCTCGATTGCAAAAGGGTTCTTCAGGAAAAGTAAAGTAGACGAATCAAGCATTATAGGAAGGTATTATGGATGAGAATCCGAGTTCGTTTGGGCCCTCATTAGTTGTTTCAAAACCGGACCTGGAATCCTATTCGCGGAAGGATTTCCTGGCTGAGTATTGAGTCTTCGAATGGGCCTAACTGGAGTTCAGATATCGAAAGAAGGTGATTCAAAAGCCCAAATTCATCTACACATCCAGGACTACAACTTTTATGAAGTGACCAAGCCCAGAAGAGTTCTTTTACATTGCGAGAATCCTGGTGTATGCTGGATTACGAATTATGTTTTCCATAACTGATAAGATTTTGACAGTTTTGGAAGTCTATCGTTTAGGAAAGATCTAGTAAAGTAATTTCCGTTTTTCCTGGGGAAGAAAGAAGAAAAAAAATATGTTATTTATTTATGAGTTGTTCGGTTAAAAGAGGGGAGACGAAGGCAGTGAAGTTTTTCTTAGTTATTTTTACCTTCTACGTCAATATGTGTGGCTGATCTTTCTTCTTCAGCTCAAGGGGATTTTGAAGCCTGAATTCATGTCATTGGTGTAACTTAACTTCAGTAACATTGTTCTTAATATTGTTCTTATTGGAATTGTTTATGTTATTCTGTTTTAATTGTTTATGATTTTTGTTTTGATGATTTAGTAATGGCCTGCTAGATTGTTTAATCGGAATTTCATCTGTTAGAATTAGGAATTGTGATAAGTAATTGTCCTCTTTCTATTCAATGAGTAACACATGATGATAGATGATTACGGAAAAGTTCTCAATCTGTCACCTTGAATAACATAACCTAAGTTAAATAATCCGATCTTACGTGATTGTTGCTTGGATTGATCTATTTTCCTAATTCTTAAGGCTGCCATTGAATTAAACTTAGAGAGCTTATTCTAGGTTGTTCAAAGGTTAGGATCTAATTGAAGAGCTTATTTCAGTAGTGACAATTAAGGGAAAATTCGGATAACAGAGCCTGTTGTTTCCTAGAGTCAATAATTCCATAATAACGAGATAGAATAATGTTACTGTTAGTTCATATCCAATGCATGTTTAGGTGGATCTTGAACCGAGAACTGGTTGTTTTTAATCTGATATTTTCTACCATTGGAGATTTATTCGTTTCACTTTAGATTGCATTGTCTACAACCCCTTTCATTATTTTGTTGTCATATTTACTGTTTAGGATTTTATTTTATTTTTCTGTTGTTTTCGTTGTGGTTATTGGTTAGAACATAGGATTTAATCAAATTATTCCCTGTGGGATCGACCCTTGCTCACCCTATATGCAATTTAGTAGTTAGGTTATTAATTTGGATCATTCGGCACGCTACCAGTCGCTTATAAAAGAAGCTAAGCGACGTCTTCCACTCTATAAAACCCTAACTTTGCCCTAAGTTTCCAAAAAACTCAAAATTTTCAGAGAGAAAAACAGCGTTTTCCAACTCAAAAAATTTGTTCTTCTTCTTCCAGTTCATGCAAACCCAACATTACAATAGAGCACCCATCCCAAGCAGCTAAGAGGTAAAGAAATTTCTTCATTTTTCTCTTTATTCCAATCCTACAAAGGCTTATCTTATCTTCTATAGTCATGGTGGTTATGGGTGTCTGGTAGGCTTAGGTAGAGAGCATTTCTGGGTAGTGTTCGAAAGAAACACTTGAAGGTACAAAACTTAGGGTAAAGAGCCCTAGAGGATTATTTTTAAGAGCTTTTAGGGTTTAGAAGCTTTGACGGCTATGGAAGAAAAACCAAGGTTCTTTTATTCCTCTGAGTCATCGTATAAAGTAGATTATGCAACGTTTGAGTCTCCCCTGAACGTCGTACCTTTACAGACTCTAAGGGCTATGGAGCCTTCAAACGAGAACAGCCGTTGTAGAAAGCTCGCACTCGCCGGGTACTTCTATAGGTCCCGGAAAGGTGATAAGGTCCATTGGCACAGTAAACAAAATCAAAGATGCATTAGAGCAGTATGCGATCGACGTGGAAGTGTTCCAAAAGAGGTTGTATATTGCCTAAGAGCCTCTCGAGGGAATGGTTGCGATCTCGAAAGCCATCTTTAAGTGAGAAGTGAGGATACGCTTCCACCCTTACATTAAGTCGATTCTCGACCACTTCCAGGTTGCACCATTCCAACTAACTCCAAATGCATATATGATAGCTATTGCTATGTATATATCATTTTCCGAGCATGACCTCGGGGAGCCAACGACGCTAGAGCTTGCTTGCGCCTATATATTGAAGAAAAGTAAAAATAAGGATTTTCACTACCTCTCCAAATGATCAACGATTAAGGGAGAAATATTTGGCTATCCCAATAATGTGGGAGCTTACAAGACCAAATATTTTTTCTTTAGGTAAAACCGTGTTTGTAAATTTCAAAAACCAAGTAGGTTTTTCCCCTTTAATCTTCAGGTCATTCATCCTTTACACTTAATTCTTTTTCAGATTATAAGCTAACAAACTCTTTTCTTTGCAGAAAACAAAATGACCAACATGGAGCTATTCACTGATCGTAGTCGCATCCAAGCATTTGGTTGACTTCCCAAACAAGGTTGTGATGCAAAGCTGCTTACGATGATCGAGAATCTTCGGAAGTACAAATTCTTTCCATTTGAAGCATACTTAGACGGTTCAGCTTGTAAGTTTTCTTAAACAGAAAAAACTCAAGTCTTTTACACATATAGGCTTTTCTTGCTGATGTGTTCGTGTGCCATGTAACAGCTATACAATCGCAGAAAACAAAGCGATCTGGGGAATCACTTTTCGAGGTTGACCAGACTCGTAACCTAGACTAGCCTCAAGCGATGTCCTTGTAATGGGGACACAAGTTAGTGCCGAAAGGCAACCAATTGTGGAGCACCGTATAGAAGCTCCCTAGCTTGGTACTACTCGCCCGATGAAGAAGAAAACCATGGCCTCGAGGAAAAGGAAAATTAACAATAAAGATCAAAGCATCTAAGTCTAAGTTAGATGACTTCAGAATATTGCCAGGTGGGCTACAACTTACTCAGCTTC